GACGCTTGACCTTCGCCGCGAGCTCCTTGTGCTTCGCAGGTGCATCCTTTTGCAGCTTATCCCAAGGGCGAACCGACGGCGAAGGAGGGGAGACGTTGGAGTGGAAGCAATCTCCCTTGCGCAAATGATTCTGGCTTACCCGACTTGGGCTGTGAACACCACTAGCCGTTCCAGCGAGCAGCGGCATCCTGGCGGCTCGGCGGCACCATGCGGTCTGGGATTGGGCAGCGCACAGCCTGCCCGAGGAGAAAGACATAATGGTGAGCGAAGGGGTCAACACCCCTGAAGCCTTTGAAAGCTGCTGCGGACTAGCGGTACCGTTTCTGCCTGGAGGCTGAACATCCACACCAGGAACGCATCTTGAGCAAAGTGGCCACGGAAGGAGGAGGAGGATGGGGGAGGATGAGGATGGGGGAGGAGGAGGTGGAGGTGGAGGAGGAGGAGGAGGACGAGGAAGGAGGAGGAGGAGGAAGGAGGAGGAGGAGGATGAAGGAGGAGAGGAGGAGGAGGAAGGTGGAGAAGGAGACGGAGGAGGAGGAGGAGGAGGAGGAGGAGGAGGAGGAGGAGGAGGAGGAGGAGGAGGAGGAGGAGGAGGAGGAGGAGACCTTGTGGAAGCCTCTCTGGGCACTTTTGGGGCCTCCTGGGGATGCCCTGGTGGCCTCCTGGAGGCCTCTGGGGGGCCTCCTCGGGCCTCTTGGTCTTTCGGAGGCTCCGCAGGAGGCGCTCTGGCCGTCTGAGGGCGCTCTTGGCCAGCCTGCCGCCGTCGGCCGCCGTCTCGGGGGCCTCCGGGCCGACTTGGGGCCGTCTTGGGGCCTTGGGGGCCATCTTGGGCATCTCGGAGGTCTCCTGGCCCTCTGGGGGCCCTCGTGAGGCTGTCCTGGGGGCCTCTTGCGCTAGCAGGGGATGGCAGAGAGATCGCCCCCCGCCTATATTCTGGACTCATGTGAAGATTCCTCCCGCAGGGAGACTCGCCCGACCTTCCGTCTGGGAGGGCGTGCTCTTGCCGCCTCTCTCCGAGGTGCCCAGGGCAGTGCCTGCGCACGTGACAGCACACATCGGGAAACATGTCGGCCCCCACCGTCCTTGTCGAAAACCAATGCCCATCGTTGTGTCTGGTGGGCCTGCGCACAGCAGGCCATACGCCACCACCCCCGCCGTCCCTGTCAAGAACCACTTGGCAGTGATCGTGGGGTTGCCGCGCATGATCCAGGTTTAGCCGCGAGGTGCATTCCGTATGGTTTTTGTAAGGGATTGTAGCCCTGCGCGCAGCAGGTAATATGCTGACACCTCCACACCCCCTTTCAACAACAATTTAAAATGTTCGCGAACCTTACGAACATGATTCAAGACTTCGCCCAAAAGTGTATTGTGTATTGTTTTTAGATAGGGATGGCGGGGGGGGCCGCATCGGGTTGGTTGCGCGTGCTCCGAATTTGGAGGCAGAGTGCGTTTTGTATTGTTTTTCGAAAGGGAATGTGGGGGTGGTCCTCATGGTTCCTGGTTGGCCGCCGGCCGCCTTGGGGAGAGGGTGTACATGTATAGGGAACAGTGATCAAGACACCTTCCTAGATAGCAAGCCGTCTAGCTCACTCCCACCCACCCTCCCAACACATAAGTAACACCCGAGCCTGAGCATGTTCAGCGGTCGGCTTTGGATGGGTAGCTATTGGGAACCAAAACCGAACCCATGTGCGCGACGCTGGGGCGAGGTGCGCCACGCGTGCCAGGCGCGCCACGCGCGCCAGGCACCCCTGGGGTCCGAGCGTGATGCGCACGTCTGGTTCGCCAGATGCGCCACGTGCTCCGAGTGCGCCAGGTATGCCACATACTCCAGCCGCGCCAGGTGCGCCACGTTCGGGGCACGTGCAGAGGTGCGCCTGCGCACGTGACAGCACACATCGGGAAACATGTCGGCCCCCACCGTCCTTGTCGAAAACCAATGCCCATCGTTGTGTCTGGTGGGCCTGCGCACAGCAGGCCATACGGCACCACCCCCGCCGTCCCTGTCAAGAACCACTTGGCAGTGATCGTGGGGTGGCCGCGCATGATCCAGGTTTAGCCGCGAGGTGCATTCCGTTTTGTTGTTGTTGTTGACCTGGAAGCCCTGCGCACAGCAGGCAGTATGGTGACACCCCCACCGTCTCCCTCCCAACACATAAGTAACACCCGAGCCTTAGCATGTTCACCGGTCGTCTTCCCATGTGCGCGCGCGACGCTGGGGCGAGGTGCGCCACGCGTGCCAGGCGCGCCACCGGCGCCAGGCACCCTTGGGGCCCGAGCGTGCCAGGCACGTCTGGTGCGCCAGATGCACCACGTGATTCGCGTGGGCCAGGTGTGCCGCATACTCCAGCCGCGCCAGGTGCGCCACGTTCGGGGCACGTGCAGAGTGTGTCAGGTGCGCCTGCGCACGTGACAGCACACATCGGGAAACATGTCGGCCCCCACCGTCCTTGTTGAAAACAAATGCCATTCATTGTGTCTGGTGGGCCTGCGTACAGCAGTCCATACGCCACCACCCCTGCCGTCCCTGTCAAGAACCACTTGGCAGTGATCGCGGGGTGGCCGCGCATGATCCAGATTTCACCCCGATGTGCATTTCGTATGCTTTTTTTTGTCAGGGACGGTAGCCCTGCGCAAAGTGTGCTTTGTGTGTTGTTTTTGATAAGGATGGTGTGTGTGTGTGTGGAGGCGCATCGGATTGGACGCGCAAAAACAATACAAAGTGTTTGCGGGCCTCACGAACATGACTCAAGACTTTGCTCTAAAGTGTATTTTCTTTATTGTTTTGTGACAGGGATGGTTTGGGGGGGCCGCATCGAGTTGGCCGCGCATGCTCCAAATGCGGAGCCAGAGTGCGTTTTGTTTTGATTTTTGACAGGCGTGGCGAGGGGGGGTCCCCATGGGGCCCTCATTGTTCCTGCTTGGCTGCCGGTTGCCTGGGGGAGGGGGTGTATATTAATAGGGAACAGTGATAAACGTTTCCCGGAAGGGGAAACAGGGGGTTTGGAATAGGAAGCGCCCCACACCACTCACACCCTGAAGGGCTGGAGGGATTTGGGCCTCTTCGGGTCTTCCTGGCGGTCTTCTTGGAAGCCTCTTGGGCAGTCTTGGAGGCCTCTTGGGCGATTTTGAGGCCATCTTCGAGGCATCTTGGCCCGTCTTGAACACATCTTGGGGCCATCTTGGGCTCTCTTTGGGCCATCGTAGCCGTCTTGGAACCATCTTTGCCGTCTTGGAGGCCATTTTGGGGCTGTCTGGAGCGGGAAAACCGACGACCTGGAAGCTTACGGGTCCTTATGGGGCGGGAGGACCAGCGGATCTGGAAGTTTGTGCGTCCTTCTGGGTGGCTGGCGGGTTGGGCCGAAGGCCTTGGGAACTTTCAAAGAAACAAATAATTACATAACATCTGGCACGCCGTGCACCCCTGTGGCAAGCCACAGGGGGTGGCGGATCTGGTGGCCTTCAGCCCATCCCGCAATTGTGCCCGCGTCGTGTGCCAGAGGCCCCTTAGAGGCCTCTTGGGGTTTCTTTGGAGGCCTCTTGGCAGCCTCTTGGAGGTCTACTGGGGGCATCCTGTGGGCTTCTTCGGGTCCCTTGGGGATCTCTGGGGCGCCTCTTCTGGGCCCGCTGGTGGTTTTGGGGCCATCTTGGTGTGGACGAAGACAGTTTCGAGTTCTTCCTTTTGGGCCTCTCTTGGAGCCGTCTTGGGCCTCCTGGGCCCCTCCAGGGCTTGGGGGTGATCTTGGGGGCCTCCTGGGCCGTCTTTGGACGTTCTTAGGACCGAAAGGGCGAGTCTGCGAAGACATCATTCTCCTCCTCCCCCCCCTCCTCCTCCTCCTCCTCCTCCTCCTCCTCCTCCTCCTCCTCCTCCTCCTCCTCCTCCTCCTCGCGAGTCTGCGAAAGGGCGGCGCACCCCAAGGGGGGCAGGCAGCGGGGCGGGGGCCTGCTCAGAAGGCTCCGGAGGGCCTCCGGCCTCCTGGGCAGTTCTCGGGGCCTCCTCCAAGGCTGCGGGGCCTCTCACGAGGCCGGAGGGCCTCCGAGGAGCCCGGCCGCCTCCGGAGGAGGCCTGCCCCCCCTCTCCCTCGCTGCGCCCTTCGGCGTGCCACCTGTAGGGGGCCACCTGCGAACCCTTCCCCTGCCCCCCACGATTTCTGAGGGGGAGGGTGGGGTTCACTTCGCTCGGGAGCTCTCGAGCGAAGCGAGCCCCACCCTCCCCCTCAGAAATCGTGGGGGGCAGGGGCAGGGTTCGCAGGCGGCCCCCTGACCTGTGGGGTTTCTTGGCCTCTTGGGCCAGCCCCCCCCCCCCCCAAGGACTCCAAAAGGAGGCCCCAGGGGCCCCCCGCCGTGAAAGACGCGGGGCGGCCCCTTTGCTGACATCCTCGGACGCCCGGGAGGCGCGAGCTCCCAATCACGCCTCCGAGTTCGGAGGGGCTCGATGTACATAATACGCCATGCCGCTTGGTCGGCCAGGGAGCCAAGGAGTTCGGCAGAGGAATTCGGCACACAGACGCCCACGCGCCCCACAGGTTGGGCAGCGGGGGTGTCCGTACACCGAGCTCCGTGGCCGGCCAGACGGCGAGGCCTAGTCATCGGGCCCCTCCCATGAGCCCAAAGAGCGGCCAGGAGCGCCCAGAGGCTCCAGAGAGTGTCTGGAGTTCTTCCATTGTGTATACCCATCGGTCGTTGAAAGTAGGTAGTTCTGGATTCTCAGATTCCAATCTACTTCAAGCGCCTTCCTACTTCAATGAACGAGTGGCTTCACCTTTTCCGTCCTTCTTTAGGGGGCGTGCGGAACCCAATCTATTTTCAACGCCTTCCTACTTCATTTTTCTACCTACTTCTTCCGACCGGTGGGTACAGTTTTCAGCATCGAGGGATCAAAGGGGCCAGAGGACCTGAGGACACCACACTCAGTGCCGACGGCACGGTGGCGGATAGCAGCGCTGACGATCACTGGCGCCTTAGCCTTCCAGTTTGCAAACTTCTGGAGAGCTGCATACATGTTCGGAGAGAATAGTGATCTCTTGGTGCTCCAGCGACACGACGACACGCTGATGCTGCTTCAATTGCTTATGATTGGGACTGCGATCATAACAGGTCTACGGATTCGCACACACTTCAGCTTACTTATTTCAATGTCTCTTCCGTGCGTGTATGCCGTGTTTAGTCTTCCGCCAGGTATGTCACCGCACGATAGGTCAATGGTAGTCGCTTTTTTGTTAGTTGTTGTGACATCTTTAGTGTTGTCATGGACGAGCCAACGAATCATCGATATTGAGCGACGTGTGGAATGGATGCGCGCTCTCATGTTGGAAGATGAGTTGCGGGCTCTGTCCCCCTTGGCTGAAGAAGATCCAAAAACAAAGATGCTGAATCAATTGCGTGTAGCAATCCAGGAAGAAGATGACAATGCTATCCGGGAGGCTCGACTGTCCTTGTGCAGTTTTGGTTTCTCGGACGCAGAAGTTGATGCCCACGTTGCCGACATTCGCAAAGAAATCAGCGAGAGATTCGGTGTCAGCGCCGCGTATCTGCTCTCAGACGAGTTTGAACAATTGGTAGCCGACCGCACAGGGCGCCAGGATCCAACTTTTTACGAGATGAAAGATGCACAGCGCTTCGCGTGAACAGGCCGGACTGGGTAATGACCAGAACATGTTGAGTTGTTCTATGCATTGCGCGATCCTCCCACCCCATCTGCTCGGACCCCATCTGGGAGGCCTTTAGTTTTTTGGCAGCCTTCGGCCTTTTGGGCCCCCTCGGCACCTTCCGGTCTGCCTCGGAGGCCCGTTTGGTGCTTGGGCGCCTTGGTGCCCTTGCGTCGGAGCTCCATGGGAGTCCAGCCCCGCTCTCTTGCTGGGCTCGCCTGCTCTCGCCGCGGGCCCTCCCGCGGGCCTCTCGGGTGAAGTCGGGCCTGTCCCTCTGCAGGAGGAAGATGTTTCAAACTAGCAAAGCCATAGGATGGGGACGATTTTTCTATTTTTCCGACTGCCTTCGAACACATTTGGGGTATCCTTTTCATTCTTCGTCCACCATCCGCCTGCAGGGGGACATGCCCGACCTAACTCTTGGGCCGAAAGGGAGGCTGGACGTCAAAGTCGGGGGTCTCCCCAGGGCCGATTTCTCATTCTGGGAAGCGGCCTCTAGAGACCGAGAGCGTAAAGACAGTGGCTGTCGCGATCTTGTTGCGTCGCCTGGGTCTGAGGGGAGGTGCAGGCGTCTCCTGCGCGGGGTACTCCAAGGGGTCGGCGGACGCTTTGTTTTGTGGGCCGGACGCGCTTGGGAAAGCGAAGCTCTGCCCGCGTGATGGCCAGCCTGGATGCGCAATCGTAGATACGTTGCCGCCCCAGCACCGGGGATTCTGCACGCACTTTCTCTCGTGGACATGGGGGTACAAGCTAAGCTCCTTGCGGTCCGCCTTGGAGGAGTGGTTGGCGAGGTCTGCCTTGCATCCCGACGAGGTGTTCTTTTGGATGTGTTTCTTTGTGAACAATCAGTATCGCATACTGCCACCACATACAAGAAAAGGGTCTGACAATCTCGGAGAGACATTTGAGGGCAACCTGCGCCGTATCGGGAAGGTAGTGGCCGTGCTGGATACCTGGGAAGACCCTGTATACCTCAAGAGGATATGGACACTGTTCGAGCAGTTCACAGCGGTCAACCTGGGGATCGAGGTCGAAATGGCGCTACCCGCGGCATCAGCTCACGCCTTACTTGAACGGATTGAGGAAGGCAGGGAAGGAATTCTCGCTGTCGTCCAGCAACTCAGTAAAGTTGATTGCCGAACTGCCGCCGCATTCGATCCTGGCGATGAGGCAAGGGTCAAGTCACTCATTCAAGCCTCTGTCGGGTTCGAAGCCGTCGAAAGAAAGATCAAGGGATTCTTTCTCTGTTGGTTGGCATCTGCAGTGGAAGAGCGATTCAACGAGCTGGTGCTCGGAGCTCCCGGCCAGCAGGCAGCTCGCAGCTTGGAGATGCGGAAGAGCCGGAAGAGCTTTGAGCAGCCTAATGAATGCATGTGACATCGCACTGCATTTCAGCTCGTGACAAACACGTTAGGCTATCCCGTGTGGGGGACAAGGCATACGAGGGAGGGGCGGGTCAGCGGCTCACCCGTGACTGGGTGATGGTCGTGGTGCTCACCGAGTGGTTTCCTGAGTTGGCAGTGGGTGTTTCAGACGCCTGGTCCCGGGCGGCCGAAGACCCTCTGACCTCGGAGGTGCAGGCAAAGCACAGCTTGGGACGTCCTTGGTAGGAGTCATGCGCGGGACGGGCGGGTGCAAAGACCCAGTCGTAGTCGGGGGAGGGAGGACAGCAGTAGCCACACAGAGCTTCTGTACAGTGCGTAAGAGTGTGTCAGGGGCCAACTCGCCCCTCTCCTCTTTTCCCTCTCGCCCGTCTCATCGGAGACGCCTCTGGTAAATCACCGCCGCCACTTCCCTCTTGGACGCGCCCATGTAGACATGCTTTTGGGGGAAATATTGGCCAACACAATGGGCTACGGGTCCCCCCAGATGTCCTGGAAGGAGTTGGAAGGACCACGTGGGGTAGGAGGACGAGGGGGACGAGGAGGCTGAGGAGGAGAGGGGGAGGGTGTCGCACTTTCTGGCATATATATATATATATCAGAGTGAGGGGACCGAACGGTCATTTACTGTCCCCGTGTGCGTGGCTGAAGTGGGGTTCTGTGGTGCGGCGGGTTGTTGTCGTTGTCGTTGCTGTTGTTGTTGTTGTTGTTGTTGTTGTTGTTGTTGTTGTTGTTGTTGTTGTTGTTGTTGAACATTATTACTTCTAAAGTAATTATCGTTGGGACCCCTGGTGCACGACCCCCCCGCCGCGCCTAGGCCGCAGCCACGTTTTCATCATTTTCGTGAGGAAGTCTCAAGCAAAACGGGTTGGTCCGGATCCGGTTGTGTTGTTACGATCGGTTTTCCCTTCCAAAAAATAAGCTAAAGTGGACATTTCTTGTTCTAACATATCCAAACTTCAAGAATCCCTTGCAAAAAATAAGGTAAAGTGGACATTCGCGCGCGCAAGACGAAATCCTTCCAAAACCTTAGTGTTCGTAGCGATTTTAACATAAAAACATCAAAAAACCAATGGTTTTTCAAAAAAAATTGTCAAAATCTCATCCCGCGCGCTCTTGCGGATTCGTAGGAAACCCAACACTTTTTAAACATTTCTGTCAAACGGGCTTTTGCGAGCAACTTTTTCGAACTTCTGCAACAACGGTTGCGCACCTGCCAGGGCCATCATCCCTGTCAAATAATACCATGCGGGACACATTCGTTTTTTCTTCGCGCGCGCACGCCGTCGTCGTCGGCCGCGGGGCCCTGAATAGTAGCCACGGTCGTCCGCATGCCACGAAGTGAAGTGTCCGAACGTCATAGGGCGGGAAGCTGGGTGTGGGTGGTGGCGAAGAGTCGTTTGGAAATTTGGTAGAGCTTGAACCGGCCCCCCCACAAAGTGGGGGTATTGCCCGCCTCCTATGAAAACCCTGGCACTGGTGAGAACGGAGTGTCCCCACGTGCTAGTAATTGTTGTTGTTGTTGAACATTATTTATTCTAAAGAATAATTATTGTTGGGCCCCCTGGTGCGCGCCCCCCCTGCGCCGCCTAGGCCGCAGCTACATTTTCATCATTTTCGTGAGGAAGCCTCAGAAAAGAGGGTGTGTACAGGATCCGGTTGTTTTGTTGTAATCCGCTTTCCCTTGCAAAAAACAATAGAAAATGACATTTCTTGTTCTAATATAATCAAATTTCAAGAATCCCTTGCAAAAAATAAGGTAAAGTGGACATTCGCGCGCGCAAGACGAAATCCTTCCAAAACCTTAGTGTTCGCAGCGATTTTAACATAAAAACATCAAAAAACCAATGGTTTTTCAACAAAAAAATTGTCAAAATCTCATCCCGCGCGCTCTTGCGGATTCGTAGGAAACCCAACACTTTTTAAACATTTCTGTCAAACGGGCTTTTGCGAGCAACTTTTTCGAACTTCTGCGACAACGGTTGCGCACCTGCCAGGGCCATCATCCCTGTCAAATAATACCATGCGGGACACATTCGTTTTTTCTTCGCGCGCGCACGCCGTCGTCGTCGGCCGCGGGGCCCTGAATAGTAGCCACGGTCGTCCGCATGCCACGAAGTGAAGTGTCCGAACGTCATAGGGCGGGAAGCTGGGTGTGGGTGGTGGCGAAGAGTCGTTTGGAAATTTGGTAGAGCTTGAACCGGCCCCCCCACAAAGTGGGGGTATTGCCCGCCTCCTATGAAAACCCTGGCACTGGTGAGAACGGAGTGTCCCCACGTGCTAGTAATTGTTGTTGTTGTTGTTGTTGTTGTTGTTGTTGTTGTTGTTGTTGTTGCTGTCGTTGTTGTTGTTGTTGTTGTTGTTGTCGTTGCTGTTGTTGTTGTCGTTGTCGTTGCTGTTGCTGCTGTTGTTGTTGTTGTCGTTGTTGTTGCAGTTGTTGTTGTCGCTGTGGTTGCTATTGTTGTTGCTGTTGGTGTTGGTCTTGGTGTTGGTGCTGATGTTGGTGTTGGTGTCGTTGTTATTGCTGCTGCTGATGTTGTAGCTGCTGTTGCTGTTGTTGTGGTGGTTGTTGTTGCTGCTGTTGTTGTTCTTGTCGTTGTTGTTGTTGTTGTTGTTGTTGTTGTTGTTCTTGTTGTCGTTGTTGTCGCTGCTGCTGCTGTTGCAGTTGTTGAATTATGGTCCCCCTGGTAACCTTTATTATTTATTACTTGAAGTGCTTCTCCCAGGGCCCCCACCATTGTTTACAAGGGGAATGAGGTGTCACCAAGCTGGGCCACTGGCCCCCAAACAACAACAACAAAAACAACACCAATCATTTTACCCTCATGCGCGATGTTTCCACCCAGATCTCCCATTCCCAGATCTGCCCCCCAATGAGGTCTTGCAAACACCTCCTCCGAGGAATTTCAACATATCCCGCCTCGAAAACGCATGCCCGCGCCTTGCTCCGACGATGCGAGACCGCCAGTGGAACCCCAGCCAAGGGTAAAGCACAAGGAAGTATCGAACGACAGGATTGCCTTGGTGGGGGTGGGGGCTGTCGGCGGCGAGGCAATGACCTGGTTCTGGATAGAAAGGGAGGAAGTCTCGAGCAGGGCCGCTGTTGTTGCTGGGAGCGGCGCCAATGCTGAAGAGAGAAGGGCGCTAGTCCAGCGTAAAACAAAACGATGTCTCGAGCGGGAACGCTGGTTTTGTTGGGACGGCGGTTGTCGGCGGCGAGGAGGAACACCGCCTTGAGTAAGAAGGGGGGAAGTCTCGAGCGGGAGCCGTGGTTCTGTCGGGATGAGGGTTGTCGGCGGCGAGGAACAGCAGCACCGTCCTGAGGAAAAAGGGAGGAAGCCTCGAGCGGGAGCGTTGTTCTTGATGGGAGCGGCGCCAATTCGAAAGAAAGTAGGGCGCCAGTCCACCGTAAAACGGGAGGAAGTCTCGGGCGGGAGCGCTGGTTTTGTCGGGACGGCGGTTTTCGGCGGCGAGGAGGAGCACCGCCTTGAGGAAAAGAACGATGAAGTCTCGAGCGGGAGCGTTGTTGTTGCTGGGGGCGGCGCCGATGAGAGAAAGAGTAGCACGCCAGTCCAAGGTAAAACGGGAGGAAGTCTCGAGCGGTAGCGCTGGTTTTGTTGGGACGGCGGCTTCCGGCGGCGAGCAAGAGCACCGGCCCTAAGTAAAGAAGGGGGAGGTCTCGAGCGGGAGCGTTGTTGTTGTTGTTGTTGTTGAACATTATTTCTTCTTAAGAATAATTATTGTTGGGACCCCTGGTGCGCGACCCCCCTCCAAAACCTAGGCCGCAGCTACATTTTCATCATTTTTTCGCGAAAGCTTCAGAAAAGTGGATTAGTACCGGATCCGGTTGTTTTGTTGTAATCCGTTTTCCCTTGCAAAAAACACTATAAAATGAAAATTCTTGTTCTTACTTGATCAAATTGCAAGAATCCCTTGCAAAAAATAAGGTAAAGTGGACATTCGTGCGCGCAAGACGAAATCCTTCCAAAACCTTAGGTTTCGTAACGATTTTAACATAAAAACATCAAAAACCCAATGGTTTTTTAAGAAAAAATTGTCAAAATGTCCTTCCGCGCGCGCTGTCCGAATCCCACAAAACCAATGGTTTTTCAACATTTATGTTACATGAGCTCGCGCGAGCTACTTTTTCTTGTTCTAACATAATCAAATTTCAATAATCCCTTGCAAAAAATAAGGTAAAGTGGACATTCGCGCGCGCAAGACGAAATCCTTCCAGAACCTTAGGTTTCGTAACGATTTCAACATAAAAACATCAAAAACCCAATGGTTTTTCAAAAAAAAATGTCCAAATTTCATCCCGCGCGCGCTGTCCGACTCCCACAAAACCAATGGTTTTTCAACATTTATGTTACATGAGCTCGCGCGAGCTACTTTTTCTTGTTCTAACATAATCAATATTCCCTTGCAAAAAAAAGTAAAGTGGACATTCGCGCGCGCAAGACCAACAAAAAACACGACGATCTCAGGAACTTGCCCCAAAAATGTGACCAACTCCGCTCTCTCTGTCTCTCTCTCTGTCTGCTCTCTGTCTCTCTCTCTGTCTGTCTGTGTCATGTATTGTATGTCACAATTGCAGGATGCTGGGCACACGCGCGCCCCGAATAAGTGACCAAGTTCTGTGGGTGTGTACCCCACGCCAGTGTAGTAGCCACGGTCGTCCGCACGCCACGAAGTGAAGTGTCCCAACGTCATAGGGCGGGAAGCTGGGTTTGGGTGGTCGCGAAGAGTCGTTTGGATATTTGGTAGAGCTTGAACTGCCCCCCCACGAAGTGGGGGTATTGTCTCGCGTCGCATGAAAACCCTGGCACTGGTGAGAACACTGAGCGTTCGGGTAAAATGATTGTTGTTGTTGTTGTTGTTGTTGTTGAACATTATTAATTCTAAAGAATAATTATTGTTGGGACCCCTGGTGCACGGCCCCCCTGCGCCGCCTAGGCCGCAGCTACATTTTCATCATTTTCGTGAGGAAGCCTCAGGTAATTCGATGTGATCAAGATCCGGTTGTTTTGTTCCCCCCCGCTTTCCCTTGCAAAAAACACTATAAAATGACATTTCTTGTTCTAATATAATCAAATTTCAAGAATCCCTTGCAAAAAACAAGGTAAAGTGGACATTCGCGCGCGCAAGACGAAATCCTTCCAAAACCTTAGTGTTCGCAGCGATTTTAACATAAAAACATCAAAAAACCAATGGTTTTTCAACAAAAAAACTGTCAAAATCTCA